AGCTCACCGACAGAAACGGCAGCAGCTAATCTCATGGCGTTCGTTACCTGCACACATAGTGTCTAGACAGCAATTCTTTTGCTCTTGCCCTGGGGTTTTATTAAGGGACGCAACCACTCCGTGCAGGGGTCCAGTGGAAGTTGCGGGGCCCCTGACCCAGAAACAGGGAGCATTTCCTAGACTCTCCCCGGCGGTTTGGCGTCTTGAATCCTACACATCCCGCTAACTTAACGGCCTTTTGGGCTTTGAGCGTCAATGATTTCCAAATGTCTCTAGAATTACCGCCCCCATTTTAATTTTCCCTAAACGTTTTGAGCTTAAAATTTTCCTCCCTTTTGTTCTTATTTTTAAATTCTTGCAGCGTCGGGGGAGAAAGGGCTTCAATTTGCCTTTCGTTTGCTTATATTACAAATTTTAGTGACTCTGATATTTTTGCGGTTTTAATCTGCTTCTCGACCCCTGCCTGTGTTTTTGTTTTTTATCTTAGAGCTAAATTATCCTTGACTACGGTATAGCACCTTAGCCGTACCAATGTCGAAACCAACGCAAGACAAATCGTCCGCAGCTGGGACCCAAACCGACACCCCGGCATTACGAAGCGCGTTCTCAAAGCCTAAGCCACAGACACCGACAGACAACAACAAACTGCACATAAATAAGCCAGATCTGTAAAACGGATGCGCGCTCTAAACTCAGGACCTGGAACAAAACCGTATTCCAGAAATGGAAAAACAACCAAGGTTTCCAGCTGGAGTGAAGAGTCGGCAAACGCTAATAAACAAACAACATAGAAGCCACAACATTGTCAGCTTGGTGCTTAAGAGTTAGTCAAAGGGTTTTCAATACTCGAGTACCAGAGTTCAGTATCTAAGAGCGAACGATACACAGACAGACCCTTGACGTCGTTTTCCGGCGGTAGGTGGAGAGTGGCACCGAAAATGAAACTGGAGCCTTACGTCATAATTCTTTCAAAGAAAGCAGTATATGTATTGCAGCGAATTCCCGTAGTGGAAACGGTACAAAGAATTAAAGTATTTTACTTTGATTACCTTTTTCGTTCTTTGAATAGCTATTACAGTAATTCTCTTCTTAATTGCTGTTTGTCATTACTTTCTATCTAGTATAACAACCTTTCCCAATACACACCCGGCATAAATTAAAACGCTTACCAACGCATCCTATATCATCCTCATCAGTTTCCACTTTTGCCATCAAGCGTTGTGAAAAGGAACAGCTGATGAAAATAATAAAGAAAACTTCTGTTTTGATATAACTGGATGGTCTAAATATTATATATATATAAAACATTAAAGTCGAAATGCAAATCTGAGCCCATGAAACAAAAACGCTTTCTGTGGATAAGTAATTACTGAGAAATTATCGCACATACGACGACAGGCATTTGTAAATGCAGTATATCTGTCCCTCATATTATAATTCCCATGCTTATGTTATACTTGACATTCTGCATACACCATTGTGCTGGTTGAACCATGCCTCTTCATCCAGTAAACCCACAACGTTATCATCAATTCATTACATCATTAAACACGGTGGAAGTATGTTCTACACAATTTACTGCCCATAAACCAGTGCCCCTTAATATTTAGATTGTGAAGAATGTCAAAAATATTTCATCTTCTTTGTCCGTGATACTCTTAGAATCTTCTTGCAACATTTAAGTTCAAAAAGCACGAAGTAAATTTTCGATGAGTTCAAACTATTCAGTGATTCAAATCCAGATGTCACATAATTAAAAACAAACATTGACCATAATGCTTATCCAAATGAGTGAAATTATAATAGCTATTTTAAATGTGGCCGCAGGCTGCGTGGATTCTTCCAGACCACAGACCGCCCAAAGCCTGGCCAGAATACGGATTTGTGAAATTTGACAGCTACCAGACACGGTATCGACCTGGCCTTGACCTTGTGCTCAAGGATGTAACCTGTGACATCAAAGGTGGAGAAAAGGTGAGTACATACGTTTATTTATAGATATCCCCGCTTGTGGGACCCGGGATGCATCGGCTGGAGGGGTTGGGGAGGGATATATCAACCACTTCCTAACATGCCTGTTGTAAAAAGCGACTGAAAAGAATTTGCTAAAATCAGATGTGTTGGACCGAAAGGCACAGATACTGAGGTCATGAAGGAAACAAAAACTCAAGTAATGTGTAAAAGTTGAAGGAAAATAATTTTAGAACTAATAACGGCCCATTGCGGAAAGCGATCAAATGATTTCGCTAACTGATTTAAAAAAAAAAAAAAAAAAAAAAAATAGAACAAAAGAGAAACGACACATCTATTCATTGTCATTACCAGAAATCAACTCACATATGAAGGAAAGATACGCACAAATATGGAAATATATTAAATTAATTTAATATTAATGCACATATAATTTCCATCTAAGAACAGGACACCGCAGGCGCAACTACCACAGGTATAAAATGATTGAGGATTTTTGGCAGCCGCCTGACTAGTGTTGTCGCCACAGACTGTGCAGTTTAGGATGTTTTATACTGACTCCGACAGAAAAACTACATTACCTTACCTGGGTCTTCCGCAAGGGAGCCCTACTTTGTAACCGCTCGGCCAGCCGCTCCTTACCTTATTTATATGAGTGTTTATTGAGTCTGCAGTTTCCAGAGTGTAAGTGACAAATTGTGACTTGGTCTGTTCTGTTCTGATGTCTAAGGAACTATAATCCATTGTTAAAACCTGTCTGTTTTTTTAGACTCTGTGTCTCGCATAAACCTTGTTATTTCTTTTACAGATTGGTATAGTGGGTCGGACTGGAGCAGGCAAGTCTTCAATGACCGTTGCCTTGTTCAGAATCATTGAAGCACAGTTAGTTAGTTAGCTGCTTAGTCTCTGTTTTAATTTTTGACAGCCAACAGTTACTACGTTCCTGTGTTAGCGAAAACCACACAAGAATTCCAATCAATCTTCCCTGTGGAAGCAGGCGTTAGTCTCGGCAGATCCAGCAGCGTACACACGCATTAAGTGCATAAGTTTGCCACTGGCAACATTATTCTTCTTCTTCTATGTGTTGGTTCTAGAGCACAACTGTATATATATATATATGTATGGGTGTGTGTGTGTGTGTGTGGGGGGGGGGGGGTTAAATAGACCCCACTGTATCTAATAAGAATGTCGTAAAAGGGGACTGATTAAATGTTTTCCTTTAAATCTGAGTGCATCGGCCCAAGGGCCGAGGAAACAAAAGCCTGCATACAAACAAAATAAAAAAACGAAATCTGTCGACCGAATGTGCATGCAGAAGTAAAGTTCTGAAACAAGATCAAAGTCAAAGAAGTCGACGAGCAACCAGAACTCTACCCAGGAGTAAGCAGCAGATGAACGAGAGAAAAAAAAAAGAATGACGTATTCTTGTGTAACTAACCATTTCTCCGGGAAACCCCGGAAGAGAAAAACACAAAGTAACACTGTTTATGTGGTGCCTGCTCAGAATGTAGGGAATTACATGATATGAAAGAATCACTAATGCTGAGCTTTTGGAGAGAACTAAACAAGTTCTAGTGGGCCAAGAGGTGAACAAAAGACGCTGACGTTGGATAGAACACACGCTGAGAAAACCTGAGATCAGTATAACTAGAATGTTTTGGCACTGGAACCAACAGGGACATAGAAATCAAGGAAGACTAAAAAAAAAAAAAAAACATAAAGAAGGAAGCTAGAGAGTGAAGTTGAAAAAGATGGGGAGAACTGCATGTGCAAGGGTAGAACGACTTGGCGTGAGTCGGTTGAGGGCCTATACTGCACTGGGAGCTAGAAAGACAGAAGAAAAATACTGTCCAACTAGTCTGTAGCTGACTTAGAGCCCTGGTATTTTGGGATTATAAACCCGCATTGAAAACTACACAAGCCATAGATGTCTACATGTTCATATGTCATCTCAAAGACAAGGCTGTCCTACTTTAGCTTCCCCTGCTTATGCTCCACCTGGGGATTAATACTCAAGGAGAAGATGAAGAGGAGGAAGAAGAAAAGGAAGTTTGGAAAATATCATTTTGACTATAAAGCCACAAAAGACTCTGTATTAGTTTCAGTCTTGTAGCAGATGTATAAAAGTAACCATGGAAATGAGCAGTTTGATCAGAGCAGCACTAGTTACTCCCCCCCCCCCCCCCCCCCCCCCCCAAAAAAAAAACGACACACAAAAATCTATTATTGAGTCATAAGCGCAAAAGCCAGCACAAAATCAGTATCAAATTACACACACAGACAGCGTTTGCCCACTTAGAGAGAAAGCCTTGAGAGGCCACGCCATATGAGGCATACACCAAAAGAGGAGAATTACATAGAGCAGGGTAGACAAAGAACAAGATGAAAAGACAACATCATAGACACTCTACAACAACACGAGGTGTCTGTGGTCGAGGTGACTAGAAAAGAAAGAAGTAGAACTTTGTATCTCCCTCGATACCCTCGCAGTTAACCGCCATCATCTGGATCTTCACAACTGGGTAGGCAGGAGTAAATAGTAATACAAGAACTGACCAACTAGCAAGTAATGCATCATTGCAAAAGGGAAGAAGCCTGGACGAGCTGATATCATCATCGCTGTACGGAAAAGGTTGAAAGATATTGGCATATCTCTGATGCTAACACGACTGCGTGACCGAGGAGTTAATCTTGGTGAAGCACGACTATGTCGTCTTCGGTGTAAAGACAGGGGATACTGTAACCAACTCCTCATGGGAACAATCTGTAGAGATACCTTGGTTTGACTGCTGTATCGGAGGACTGATCAGGCATGGGGAAACCCAATGTGCAATGTCGTTAATTGTGATAAATAACGTAACAGAACATAACCTGAAGCGTAAAAGAATAAGTAAAGAAGATGAGGACGACTACTTGTATGAGATAGATTAGTTACAACCTTTGTATGAAATGATTAACTGTAGCTTGCTATATACAGAAATAAAACGTCTTCTCTACAGGAGCCAGTCATTTTCTCCGGAACTCTTCGAATGAATCTTGATCCCTTTGACAGCCACAATGATGAGCAAATCTGGGATGCACTGGAACACGCCTACTTGAAGGACTTTGTTTCCGGCCTCTCCATGGGCTTGGCCTATCAATGCGGGGAAGGAGGCAGCAATCTGAGGTAGGCTGGTTTCCTTTTGATTTTTCTCATAGTCTACTTTCAAACATAGTGAGCCAGTCTTTCCCTTTTAATGGCCCGCTGTCCCCTTCGTGGGGAGGAAGGGAGTCTATAACGTGAGTTTAAGGAAGTTTAGGGGTACGTGATATCATTTACAGTTAGCTCATTCTAGGTTTCGGAGCCTCTTGGAAAAGGGGGGGGGGGTTTGGGGGGGGGGGGGGGTAATAGACCCATAGATTTGATAGATGATGACGATGACGATGAAGACGACAGTAATAATAATAATAATAATAATGGTGAACACGATGATGATGATGATAGTCTTAGTGAACTCTATGTCTTCGCCTGCTTCATATGTCATTTAAATATTTTAATTGAAGTGTGTTTAATGACGAAAGTAAGACATCATTCCTCCGGCTTTCACCACACAAGACTCGGTCTCTCCCAGCGAAGCTGCTGGTAACATACCGAAAGCATCACAAAAAGCACACATCTCTACATTTCCAGCGTCAAACCTCTCGAATCTCTGAATCGCATACAATCTGAAACGAACAACACCAACAGGAAATGACTGCGTTTTCACGGAGACCTGTCTAAATTGTTTAATAGTAATGCAGTGTGTTTTTCAATGGCGAAGCCAGTATAAGGACACGATACACAGTGGGTATAAGATCATGCCAGCCGCGTTTACTTCCGAAGTCATTTCCTCGTACACAATTTTCGATTGTGTCAATATTGGAGACTAGTTTTATTCTTTCAAAAAATGCCCCCATTATGGTTTCGAAATAAGACCTTGGGGTTGGAAGTCCAGATTCTGGCCACTCTGCTAACATGGCTTCCTCATATTGTTTCATTCATTCATTCATTTAATCATTTGTTTATTCATTCATTGTCCAGTTGTACCATTGTTTGTCACATAGAGTTCGCAGTTTATCACCCCCCCCCCCCACACCCACTGGGTTCTATACTGTACGATACATTCAATTCGATGGATGGAACCCAACCTAGCCCTTTCAGCTTATATCATCTAGTTTCGCCTTTAGGTTTCTCTTAGACGTTCACGTTTCCCTGAGGCAGCTGCGTGGTCTCGGGGCATGGTGTCCGCCCCGAGTGCTAGAGGTTCCAGATTCAATCCCCGGTAAGGGTTGGGATTTTTTCACGGCGCTGCCCGGACAAAATTTGGAGTTAAAAATCTACCCAAAGTATTTCAAGATCCTCGCCTGTTCTACAGAACCTGTGCACTGTGCTGAGCTTCTTTAGACGCAGACTACTTGAGTTAGAAGAAGAATGTAGCACTTATGGTTTACCACTAGTACGCCATGATGTTGATCTGTTGTTCAAACTTCAGATCTCCCGTTTCCCCAGTTCCTGTTTCTCATTGCATTGCCTGTATGTTGATTCTCTATTCGTCTTTTCTCAGAATGTATCCAATGTAGCGCAATCTTCTCTTTCTTATAACTATTGATATTAACTCTTTGAGTCCCAGGGGGTTTAGCATCACAGGCCCGGGGGTAGTAAAGGGAGTCATAAAATCGGCGCATCATGCCTTCATTTGGACTTCTAGGTAGGAACCTATGAACGTATGATGCGCTCCTTGCCACTCAAAGAGTTAATGGTTGCACAGATATTAATATTATTTCTTCACTCATCGTGAATTCATTCTATTTTATGCTCATTGTTTTTTCCCAGAGGCATTTGTTTTCCAATGCATTTAGCTTGTGTTTTTGGTTTGATGTCTGATGATAACAACTAACGCAGGCGCTACACGTGAAAAGATCTGAAGTGAAAACAAGAGGCTGCCCTAGGAGAGTGTGGATTGAGAACATTAAAGAGCTTCTACGTTGACATGGAATGACAATAGCTATTTTGCCAATCAAGCAATGGATCGCAATCTGTTTCCTCTCTACGTCGCCAAACGGCAGCAGTGGAAATTGATGATGATGATGATGATGATGATGATGATGATGATGATGATGATGATGATGATGATGATGATGATATAGACCGCAGAAATATCAGAGACATTTAAAAAATACTTTATACCGAGCTAACAAAAGAGCCCGTTCCAGAGATCTTTTTCTGTCCTGACGCCTCAAGACATTCCAGGTGCAGAGAAAAGAAAAAGAAGATGTGATAATGTTTCAGTGAATCATTAACACCCTTGCTATACAATTGTTTTACCAACAGTGTTGGACAGCGTCAGCTAGTTTGTCTTGCCCGAACCTTACTGCGCAAAACTAAAATCCTAGTTCTGGACGAAGCCACGGCCGCTGTTGACTTTGAGACCGATGAGCTCATTCAGAAGACAATTAGAACAGAGTTCAAGGACAGCACGGTGCTTACCATCGCACACAGACTCAACACCATCCTTGATTATGATAGGTAAGATTATCTTTATGAATCTCTATTGTATAAATGTTGAATGTTGAATTCAGAATTGACATCATAGCACTCGGGACACTTCCATAAGCGCCCCGTCCCCATCTTCAGCAGCAAACTAAGAGTTCAAATTCCGATTTCACCAAAGAAAGTCTGATTGTATATCCGTCTTTTCTTTCCCTTGAATGCTGTGCATTGTCCAGATTCACTGGCAACTCCTTGCAGCGACATTCTCCTCGGACCGTTTTATTTTATAAAGTGTGAGTTAAAGTAACAATGTTGAGTTCTCTCGCCTTTCTCTTGGCCACTTATGTATTTGAGTTATGGACTTTTATTCAACCAGGTAAGAAAAATAAAAAAGAGCTTTTGAGCTGAAATCGTCATCATCAAGTGCCTTGCCGGCTGGTAAAAGCTTTCATACATTTCCACAGATTTATCGGTCTTTTAGGTTCTGGATCAATTCCACTGATGATTTTCTTCCATGCCACTGTCTTAAGCTATCCTCCATCGTTTCTCTTGATCTGCCTCTGCCTCTTCTACCAGTGATCTTTCCGGTCGTCACGATATTTTCCGGTGCTCCTTTTCTCATCACATGACTAAATAACTGTGTTTTTCTCCTTCTCATTGTTGTATATAATGTTTTACCTTTATTAGCTATTGCCAGGCAATCATTGTCAGTTATTCTATCAGTCCAAGGTATTGGCAACATTCTTCTCAAGTACCACATCTCAGTTGCCTCCAGGGTCTTCTATTCGCTCACATTTCAAGATTCACTGCCATACAACTGAATAAGCTAAAAGTCTACATAAATATACTTAGAGTATCTATGGATTAGGAAAAAGAAAAATAACGACATCCTCCTTGTTCTGAACATACAAGAGAATTGGCTCATAAACAGCATCCTGTCCCAACAGCTGAAGCATTTTGGCCATGGTGACGTCATGATGACCTGGGGAGAACGGCCATGGAGGCTGTAGTTTGTGAAAAAGAATACAGAGGCCGACTTTGACGAAAGCGGACAGAAGATACTGAAGATGCTATCGCTAAGAAAACACATAGGGCTGGAGAACTGTCTAGAGAAAGAGAAAGCTTTAGGTGTACAGTGAAGAGAGCGACGTTCTGTGAAGGACATGCTTATTGATGATTACAAAATAAGTGTATAATAAATGTTCTATAACATAAACTTATGTAACCTGTGGTGCCATTTCAGTGGTTTGAAATGAATTATGTCCGTATTTCATAGTCCTAGATTTAAAGCTGTACGATAAACATGCCAATGTGGACACCTTTTTTTTTTTTTTTTGAGGGGGTGCGGTGCCTTCATTGCTATGTTCTTTATACGCTTGTTTCCATAGCGAGGCGTACACGTCATTTGGAGGTGACAGGTTCGATTCCCGACACAGTAACTATAGCTCTCTGATGTTTATGTTGTCTAGTGTGTCCTCCTTTCTTTCCACTTCTTTCTATGAGTGCCTGTCAAACTATTGTCTTTTTATTAATTATATGTCCATAATATAAAATCAAAGAGCGCATTCATATTATTTTACCTTTCATTTTTTTTTCTTCAAAAAGCCTATCATCGTCAGTCTAACTCTGCACTACACACAACTGTTCCGGTCTCTCTGCCACAAATTAAGAGCTAAGAACCAATATCAAATCACTCGGGAGAATCTCATTGGCCAGTTCTAATAGGAAGTTTACGATGCTAATGGGGCCAGATAAAGTGTGATTACTTGCACTTTTCTTTCTTCTGCACATTGAGTGTCCACTTATTTCTTGCGGACATTCCACATTTTTCTTAGACCCTGATGATATTTCCGCTTGTCGGCGTTATTGAGGTGCTCCCAAAGGTCCTTTACCGAATCTGTCTTTGTCAGGCTTCAATTCACTGCCTTCCCAGTGACGCAGTACAAGCTAATCAATGTGCCTGTTTATGTCTTGGAGACAGCTTGTTTATATCCCCTCCCTCCATTTGTTTAAACACCTTCTTACTTATTTCATTTCGTAATATAACTTGTCATGCCCATACTAGCCTCCCCCCTCCCTCCCCACCCTTTCGCCACACCCCCAGTGCGCATTTCTTCGTTCATGTCGACAGTAGTTGGTTAGAAGTGTTTATTGTCTTGACCGTTGCGTTATTGTGTTACAGTTTGTGTTACGTTTAGTCATCATCATTATCATCAGATTCAACTTCTGCATATAACAAAATATGTAGGACACATTCAGTCAGTCAGTCAGTCAGTCAGTCAGTCAGTCAGTCAGTCAGTCAGTCAGTCAGTCAGTCAGTCAGTCTTCTTTCAGTAGCATATCCTTGTGCAGAACCTTGCTCCCATAGTCTGAATCCGGATCGGCTTCTCGATCACAAGCGCGATGTCCCACGTACGCTTACACCCATGCTGGATGATCATGAAGTCCACATGACTCTGCACCCGTCTTCTTCTCTTCGGCCCTCCTCTTTCTCTTTTACCAGGCATAAACCCCTCCAATATTGTTCTCTCTTAACTTTTATTCCGTTTCAAAATACCAAAACATTTCAGTTTTCTGTATTTTATCGTCTTTTAAAGGCAACCTTCTTCAATAGTCAGTTCGTAAAAGTGTTGGATGCACTTGTTTCTGTTTCTTTACCATGATATTCTTGGAGACTCGTCCGCCACATTTGTATTCAGTGGCATCTATGCGCCCTCCTCTTTTCTTTTAGTGTCTAAAGGTCTCACATGTTATGTGTTATTTTGTTTTGTTTCATATATGTTATGGTTTCTTGGCAAGTTTTGCATAAGGTAGTTTGCGTAGACACATTAGCAACACTAAAACCATTGTAACATTTCATCCACAGAATCATGGTACTGGACAAAGGAAAAATCAAAGAATTCGAATCACCGCAAGCTTTGCTGGCAGACAAAAGCAGTATTTTCCACGGCATGGCCAAAGACGCTGGGCTAGTTAATTAAAGAACCGCCAAACTGGATGAACTGCTTCATTTTTCTTTAACTTATTTCGTTTCGCAGTTTACAAGAAATGTTGTACATGTAACTTAAATGTAACAGTAGCAGGTAGCACTGGCAGTATGCGGTTGTCTGAATATAGTCTATCGAGTTAATTAAATGTCTTCTACTTCTTCACCCTCGCCGGCTGTGTAAGTTCTGGCTGTTCTTCCACTTCTGGGCTATAATCCTGTTCCAGAAACTGAGTGTTCATGGCACATCCGTTTCACAAGTCTCACTTATTTGCATGCAGACTGTTGGTTCCTTGCCTCTCAGGCAGATGAACGACATCGAGGGAAGAATTAAATGTAAAAGGCGTGTATGATGTTGAATGACTGTGCAAAAAAAAAAAAAAACGGCTATAACTTCCCACAAGTTTGTTATTATAAAAAAGAATACACTATCAAATTGCATTTTTACATTTGTTTTGTGTGTGGGTTGCTTAGTGTCTGGAAACCTGCTTTGTTGGCTGTATTCATATGTTTAATTTTCCACTGAGTCAAGAATGTTTTTGTTAACAACCTCAAGTCCTAGGTCTGCCCTGTATCTTTTTCTTCTTCTTCCCTTTCACTGCCTTTAAACTCCGGCTGAACCTTCTGGTTTTTTTTTTTTAAACCCACTTCTTGACTTTGGGCTTGTTCCACAACCTTTTTTTATAGAGGGGGGGGGGGGCGTGACCACACCCAAATAAGGCCCCGGAACCCTCAAAGGGGGAATATTATATTTGAAAAAAAATTGAAAAATTTTGTGGGAAATAAAACTAAAATGTTGTACCCCATCTCTTGCTGAGATAAACACCGATCAATGTTTAAGTAAGTCTAACAAAAAACATTTTTTTTTTTTACGTGCTGGGCATGTATGGGTAGACGACCTTCATTTGTAAAGACCAATCCGCACTTGGTGGCTGATGGGGTTCAGCATCACGTCGGCCGCTATTACTTAACAGGACTGTACCTGGTACCCACTGGCTGATTCGACCTGGGAGCCAAGGTCATTTTTGAAAATAGTCGGGCTCCCTCAGGACCCGAACCCACGACCTTCCGATTCACAGGCAAGCGTCTAACCACTACACCATGGCGACTCCATGATTACTGGTTAGGACGACATAAGTCTTGACTTAGCTTCCATGAAGGCGATAGATTGGAGTCTTTACAGTAAAATATCTACAACCTTTGTGAAGATACATTTCGTGTAATATGGGCTATATAGTGAGGTTTCAGAGTTTCTTTGATTTTATTTGTCCATTTTGACAGAGCTTCCTATCATTATTTCATCGGAACCAATCAACATTCCTTGGTGTTATTATGTAAAATAAACTTCTGTCAGTTACAAGCTTGGACTTGAGTGGTACATTTTGTGTGGATTTTGTGTCAGTTTCTGATGTTACTTGATACATAACGTCATCCAAGCGATGGCATTTTAAGTAAAGGTGAGAGGATCGACTTCATTGCAATGGGTTTTATCTCATATGGCTCAGTCTCCTTTCCACAGAACAGCTAGCTGCCTGCCAAGAGCGTCACTCAGAGCACTACCTCTGAAACTCCGGCGACGATCACCAGGGATCTCCACAAAAACTGCACTCGTAAACTGAAACGCTACATACATACATACATACATACATACATACATACATACATACATACATACATACATACATACATACATACATACATACATACATACATACATACATACATACATACATACATACATACATACATACATACATACATACATACATACATACATACATACATACATACATACATACATACATACATACATACATACATACATACATACATACATACATACACATACATACATACATACATACATACATACATACATACATACATACATACATACATACATACATACATACATACATACATACATACATACATACATACATACATACATACATACATACATACATACATACATACATACATACATACATACATACATACATACATACATACATACATACATACATACATACA